GATGCCGCGGCGGGGAGCGCGGGCTCCAGGCCGGGTTCAAATTCTGCCTGCGCCCGGGCGCTGGGCGCCTCGCCGTCTGCCGCCCTTCTAACACGAGAACCGGAATAGCAGCAGCCGCTGCTGTAATAATTCTGATCATTTTAAACCTTAAGTGAGGCCAGGCATTGTGATGCACGACTGTAATTCCAGCGCTCTGTAGGCTGAAGCAGGAGGATCACTGAGTTTGAGGCCAGTTTGGGCTACATAGTGAGTTAGAGGCCATCCTGAACTGTATACGGAGGAGATCCTGCCTAAAAAATAAAATAAAACCTTAAGTGAGTTCGTGCAACTCTGCCTACGACATTCCCAGAGTCCCTAGGGAAACAGGCGACCTAGGGACCAGCGAACTTGGAGACTGCTCGGACCTGGGGCTGCAGTCCCTGTAGTGGCTGTTTCACCTCTAGGTCCCTGCACCCCGGGACTCAGAGCATCCGAGGCCTTGGATGGAGTCCGGCCCTGGTGCGGCTCGCAGAAAAGCACAGGGAAAGATTTTGAATCTGTGCCTCAATTTCTTCACTTTTAACCCTTTATCTGGGCTCCAGGGGTCTTCACTCCAGGGCAGCTCCTCAGCGAAACCCCTGCACCACCCCTCACTCTGGTTCCCATCCTGCCTCAATTTCCCTCCTGGGCACTCATCACACTGACCAGTCCACGTCTGTCTTTGGATACAGGCGTCTCACTATACAGCCCAGGATGGCAAATGTCTGCTCCCTGAGGCAGGAATGGGGGGATTGCTTTTTAGTTTTTTTGTGGGGGAGGAGTTGGGTTTCATTTATTGGTTTTTTTGAGACAAGGTCTTGTTATGTAGCCCAGGCTGGCCTTGAACTCACAGCAATCCTCCTGCCTCAGCCTCCTGAGTGCTAGGATCACAGGCATGCGCCACCGTGACCTGTTGAGGGCAGGAATTTTGTCTGATTTGCTGGCTGTTGAATCCCAGTGCCTGGAACACAGCAATTTTTACTTCTTTTGTGGTGCTGGGTGGAACCTAGGCAGGGTCTGCTGCACAGGACTTTGCCACTGAGCTACACCCAGACCCACAAATTATTTAAAAGTATAAATAAGGGCCAGAGATGTAGTTCAGTGGTGCCGCTGCCCACCTCACAAGCGCAAGGTCCCGAGATTGATCCCTGGTACCCCCCCAAAAAATGTGTGAATGAAATATAGTAGTTACACAGAAACTCTCTGATCAGTTGAAAGTACCAAGTCCATCGCCAGCGTGGTGAAAATGTTCTAAACTGGGTGGTGATGGGGTCTCACACCTCCGCGAACACATGAACAGCCACTGAATTGTGTGCTGCTTCTTTACTTGATTTATCCATTAATTTCCTGAGCCTTTGGAGGCGACCTCACACCTGCTGGGCAAGTGCTCCAGTCCTTGCTTGTTTTGTTTTGCTCTGTATTCAGTGCTAGGGATGGAACCAGCTCGTTTTGGTCCCCAGGTCCCTCGTCCCCTCAAACCCAGAAGGAAGGACCGTGGCGCCACCACGGGACCTCAAAGACGCCACACCAGGTGATGCCGCCCAGCACACAGCCACCAGAGGCAGAAGCACAGCGGACAACGGCAGGGCAGCTGGAGGGGGCAGAGGTTCAGCGGGGAGCCAGGACTAAGGCGGCGACGGCTTCCCAGTAATGTGCATGTGCTGCTTACTGCCGTTCAAAATGGTGGCAATGGAGCTAGGCGTGGTGACGCACACCTGTCATCCCAACACTCTGGGAGGCTGAGGCAGGAGGATCACTTGTGAGTTCAAGGCCAGCCTGAACATCACAGGGAGACCCGGTCTCAAAACTCCAAAACAAACCCGAAAAAGCCCATCAAGTCACACACAGTTCCCGAAAGGTGTTGCGCCAGTGGTCTCTGCCCCCTGGGCTCCAGCCACAGTCAGCCACAGGGGCCCATGCGCATAGAATCCTGGGAAGCCTTTACCAGGGACACACAGGCTGGAAGCCAAGGTGCATGGTTGTGTGGTGAGAGCGTCACTCCAGAGCAGAGAGGGGGACGGGCACCCCTGGAGACCCCATGTATCCGGGGCCACCCACGAACAGGCCAGGGGGCTACAGGGAAAAGGGGTGCAGTTCCCTGTGCCTGCACCATCTTGGGATAATGTGGTCCACGGTTCACGAGCTCCACTTCCACCAGCTACCTCCTCTATCCCAGCGGTCCGGCTTCTCTGCCCCTCAGCCCTCCAGCCCTGCTCCTGGCCCCAGGGCCTTTGCACAACCGTCCCTCTGTGTCGGAGGCCCTTCTCCTGGATATCCCCTTGGCCTCCTCCCTCTTTCTGCGTGGCTCTGCTCTCATGTCACCTTCTCATAGAGCCCTGGCTTTCATGCTTAGTTCCAAGAATGTCAAGTGTACTTGAGCAGGTTGTTTACTGAACAGGTCACTCACTGACTAGGCAGGAGGGAGTAGAATTCAGCTCACACCTTTGCTTTCCAAAACTGGGGCCTAGGAAAAGGGGCACAATTTTGGAAAAGGAAGGCACTAGCAGCTGCTTTGTGAAAAACACCTACAGTTTAAAGCCACCTAAGTTGTGGTATTTTGTTACAGTAGCCAAAGGAGACAAATTTTCCTCCCCAACCCCTCGAACTTGCAGCAGTCCTCCTGCCTCAGCCTCCTGAGTGTGGGGATCACAGCGTGGGCCACCTGCACCAGGGCCGTGTCCTCTATCACACTACTGCTGTGCAGGCGTCATGTTGGACTGTGTATGGGACGATGACAAGAAAGACATGTTCACTACAGATGCAATTTTTAAAATTTGATCTCCCATGGGCCCGGGGATTTAGCTCAGTGGTTCCACCGCCGGCCTCCCAAGCCCAAGGGCCCAGTTCGATCAGCGGTACCTAAATAAATAAAATACAATCTCCCATCCGTGGCCAACTGAACCCACAGATGTGGGACGCAGGAGGGCCCACTGTATACACTGGAAAAGATGACTTTAAACAGAAACATGGAGACATGTGGACCTGTTGATGGTGACAATGTGACCATACCCCGCTGGGGACCACAGGATCACAACCCTGAGGCCACACAGCTGAGGGGACTTCCGGCTGCTGCCCGGCAGGAACATGTGCCATGTTTATACGCCCAGGACAGAGCAGGGCCTGGTGTCCCCATGCGCCCCACTGCCACCCAGCTCCAGCTGTCCTGATGACCCCAAAGCAAGGGACCAAAGAGGCACGAGTACAGTTTTAAAAAAAGGATTGGTTTTTTAATTTACAAGAGTTCTAAATGTACAGAATTCTCCTTTAAAAAAATCGTTATACACAATAAATACAGTACAAAAAAATTTATCTTACAGTACTAGTTTTGTCTCCGAGATTTCAAAACGTGGCGCGGGAGGCAGAAAGGGGCAGGAAGACGGCTGGGAGGGCAAGAGGAGGATCCTGGGGCTGTGGCTGGGATTTCCAAGTGGTGGGACTGAGCGTTCCAGATCTTTCACTTGCACGCGCTCACACACACACACACACACACTCACACACACACACACGCAGACGCGCAGGCACGGCTGGGCAGTGCCCGCAGATACCCTCCTCGGGTTTGGTTTATAGCCCGGGCCACCCCCCACCCCAGCACCCCTGACCACGATCCTGATGCCACACGGATAAGACCGGTGCCCGGGCCAGGCAGTGGGGACACCTGGTGCCCCATCCCTGGCACACATGCTCGCGCATGCCCAGCAATGTCGGCTGCAGCCGGAAGTGGGAAGAACCAGAAGCGACACACCAGGAAGCCCTCCTTTGGCGGGCGACACATGTACATGACAGCCCCTCCCCAGAACCCACGCCCCATTGCACCCCTTAACCCCCAAGGGGAGGAGGCCTTTGTGACTCAATAACTTAGGCAAGGACTGTGGGGTCCCCTGGTGTCCCCAGGGCAGCCCGGTGTTATCTGTTCAACGTCCTGCCGGGGCCCAGGCCGCCGTTGTGGCTGGAGGGCGGGAAGGCCTCGCACATGTACATGACAGCCCCTCCCCAGAACCCACGCCCCATTGCACCCCTTAACCCCCAAGGGGAGGAGGCCTTTGTGACTCAATAACTTAGGCAAGGACTGTGGGGTCCCCTGGTGTCCCCAGGGCAGCCCGGTGTTATCTGTTCAACGTCCTGCCGGGGCCCAGGCCGCCGTTGTGGCTGGAGGGCGGGAAGGCCTCGCGCCTGTGCAGGGCCGGCGGG